TCTCCCTTCACCCAGAACATCCCTCAGTGGAACCCCTTGCCCCCTCCAAAGTGAGGTCTCCTTCTCTCCACCTTTTCAATCTTTCCCCCTTCTTACCTACTCCCCCTCCTTGCTCTTTTCCTGAGACCATAGAGGTCACCTCCATCCTCATTCTCCTTGATATTTCTGCAGCCTTTGATGCTTTTGATCCCTCTCTCCTCCTGGATGCTTTCTTCTCTCTGAGTATTTTGGACACCCAGCTCTCTCCTAGTTTTCTTTCCACTTCTCTGACCTTTTCTTTGGAAGTATCCTTCTCCTGAGTATGCCCTTTAAACATGCATAGGTGTCCCTCAGGCGTCTGTCCTGGGTGCTCCTGTCTTCTTCCTCTATACCCCTTTACTTGGTGATCTCATCATCTCCCATGGACTGAATTACCATCTCTATGTGGATGATTCTCCCATGTACCTCTCCTGCCCTATCTCTGTGCTCATCTCCAGTCTTGTATCTGATTCCTCAGAGATATCTCAAATTGGGCGACCAGTAGATATCTTAAACTTAATCTGTCCAAAACAGAATTTGTTACCTCCCCCCAAATCACTCCTTCCCATTGTATTGTAGAGGGCTATACTACTCTCCCTTAGGGTCATCACATAGGAGTCATCCTGGACTCCCTACTATCTCTTACTCCACATATCCACAAATCCAAGACGGTGCCAAGGTCTGTCCCTTTCACCTTCTCCACATCTCTACAATACACCCCTGTTCTCCTCTGACACTGCCACCAGCCTGGTGCTGACCCACCTCGCCTCACAGCTGGCCTATTAAGATAGCTGGCCTCCCTCAGGGCTCTGCCCATCCAGGCCATTCTCCATTCACCCACTAGAGTGATTTTCCTACGATGCACTTCTGACCTTGTCACTCCTCTACTCAAGAAACTCCAGTGGCTCCCGCTTGTCTCCAGGATCAAATACAAAGTCTTCCATTTCTCATTTAAAGCCCATTATAATCTAGCCCCTTCTATCTTTCCAGTCTTCTTACTCCTTACTCCCCAGCATGTATTATCTGATCCAGTGATGCTGGCCTCCTGGCCTCTCTCACCTCCAGGCATTTTCCATGGCTCTCTCCCATGCCTGGAATACTCTCCTTCCCCAGTTCAGACTCCTGGTGTTCCTGGCTTCCCTCAGGTCCACCTTCTGCAGGAAGCCTTCCCTAACCCCTCCTAATTATCTTGTCTTTCCTCTTTTAATTATTTCCTATTTGTTCTACTGGTGGTTTGCTTTGTTTTTATTTGTTTGCATATTGTTTCCCCCAGTAGAGTGTAAACTCCTTGAGGGCAAGGACTATCTTTTGCCTCTTTATGTATCCCAGGTGTTTAGTATAGTGCCTGGCACATAGTGGGTGCTTAATAAATATATGTGGAAGAGAATTGAAAATGTCCAGTCTCTATCCCCCTGTTCTCCTACCACCTTTCAGGTATCTTCCTACGGCATAATGTAGTCTCACAAAGGAAGCCTTCACCTGTAGGCAGGATGTCACAAGATTCTGTCCTCCCCTTCACTGTTACCTTCACCAGATTTCCTAGTTTGTCTCTGTCTCCTTGTGTACTTTAAGGGAAAATCTCCTACTGGTCTTTCTGTTGTCGCTCTGTTGCCTTTGTTGTTTGCAATTATTTACTCCCCCTGCATTTCTGTTATTTATGGTGTTTGAGATGCAAATAATCTCTTCAGTTCTACTTTTGTTTCTTTCTTTTTTTTGGAGGCAATCAGTGCTAAGTGACTTGCATAGGGTCCCACTGCTAGTAAGTATCTGAAGCCACATTTGAATTCAGGTCCTCTTCACTTCAGGGCCAGTGCTCTGGAAGCAGATGCAGTGGTGGTATTACTGGATCAAAGGGTATAGGCAGGTTAATAACTCTTTGGTCCTAATTCCGGATTGCTCTCCAAGATGGTTGGATCAGTTCACAATTCCACCCACAATCAATTAGTGTCCCATTTTTATCACATCCTCTCCAACATTTGTTGCTTTCCCATCAATCATCTTAACCAATCTGATAGGTGTAAAAAGATATCTCAAGGGGGTTTTAATTTGCATTTCTCTAATCAATAATGATTTAGAGCATTTTTTATATCACTATAAATTGTTTTCATTTCGTCATCAAAGACTGCCTGTTCATATTCATTGACTATCCCCTGGGGAATGACTCATATGCTTAAAGATTTGACAAAGTTCTTTGTGTATTTGAGAAATGAGACCTTTAGATAAGAATCTCTCTATAATTCCCCCCCCCAATTTTCTGGTTTCCTTCGGATCTTGGCTACATTTTAAAAATTTAATGTAATCAAAATTATCCATTTTACACCTCATGCTGCTCTCTATCTTTTCTTTATTCATAAATTGTTCACCTAGCCATAAATCTGGCAGGTAATATATTCCATGTTCTTTGCATTTTCTTTTAATATCTCTTTTTATGTCTGGTTATGTAAGCATTTTGACATTGTCTTGGTAAATGGTATAAGATATCGGTTTATACCCAATTTCTGCCAGACAGCTTTCTAGTTTTCCCAACAGTTTTTACCAAATAATGAATTTTTATCCCCAAAACTTCAGTCTTTACACTCGCAAAATACAAGGTTAGTATATTTATTCACTGCCATCATTGTATGTCTACTCTGTTCCACTGATTTACCTTTCCATTGCTTTTTACCAGATAGTCTTAGTAATTACAGCCTTATACTAAAGTTAGGATCTAGTACTACACCTCCTTCCTTTACATTTTTTTTTCAGTAGTTCCTTTGATGTTCCTGACTTTTTGTCCTTCCAAATGAATTTTGTTATTTTTTTCTAATTCAGTAAAATAATTTTTTGGTACTTTAATTAAGATGGCATTGACTATATAAATTAGTTTAGGTAAAATTGTCATTTTTATTACACTGTTGCTTCCTACACATGGATATTTAATATGTCTCCAATTATTTAAATCTGATTTTATTTGCATAAATTTTAAAAATAATTTTGTTCTTTTATTGTCTATTTTTAATGGGGTGTCAGCTGGTTTCTTTCTAGAAATATTTCAGACTCTTCTTTATTATTGAACATTCACTTTTTCTCCATATTGCTAAGCTCACATTTGCAGGATAGGTCACCCTGGGCTTCATCCTGAACTTTACTGTTCTCCAGAACACATTCTTCCATTCCCTTCTCATTTCTAGTGGGTTTGGAATAGTCTTGCATATTTCAGTATCCTTTCCATTGTATCTGAAAGTCTTTCTCCTGATGGCTTGTAGAACTCACTTAGCCTCAAGGAACTGACAGTCTAACAGAGGAAGACACCATACAAAAGAATGATGAAGAGGGGTCCAGGAGAGGAGAAGGTATCCGATTCAGGAGCATTGTGGAGAAGTCAGTCAGAGAAGTCTCAAAGAAGTTGAGCCAGGTGAGAAATGAGATGTCTCAGATAAGCTTTCTCCTTCAACAGTGGTTTGGAGTTCTTAACTCCATCCCATTGTGATGAAGGAAGGATGTGGGAGGCTTGAAAAGGAAACAGGTTTGGAATAGCTTCTGTTGGGTGTAAGTTAGGGAATAAATTAGAGATCAGTTATAGATCAATAAGGGGAATACCTTCCAATAGTGAGAGCCCACACAATGAATACTGTGTAGTGAAGAGGGTCAAGAGACCCTAGTGAAAAAGAAAGATTTCTAATTTTTGGGAATCACAGAAAATGTAAAAGTTCAATAGATATCTCGATTTTTCCAAGGCAAAATAACAGGACAATGGCAATAAAGGGCAAAATATGGATTAAAAATAGATAATGAGTCAGGTGTTTAAAGAGAAAAATCACAGTGATAAAAAAAATAAAAAGACAACTTTGTACATATAATGGAGAAGTTTTTCTCAAATATCAGAATCTCTGATAACATGAATCATGTGCTTCTGATGGAAATGGAAGACCATCAAATTCCAAAACCATTGGCCAAACACACATTGTGCATGTAGCAGACTGGAAGTATAGATGACCGCTACCAAGTATCAGGATGTTTTCAGAACTAGCCAACCTCTACTGTATGTGCTCTGCCAGCAGGCCTCTTGACTCCTTCTCTTGATTTTTGTTCTCTGAAGTTCCCAGAATTCTAGGGGTGTCCTTAGATCTTTCATTTCTCTTGGAGTTCCTGGCAATGTCTTTCTCATGACTTAGCTCAAACACAACCCACATTTGCTTTTTTTTTTTTAATGAATTAAGGAACAGTCCTTTCTCCATGACAGTTACTATTATTTCTATGTAACTAAATATTATAATTGAGGAATATATGCTATCATGAAACGAAAGCAATCATAAAGAAAGGCAAAAGGTGTTTTTGCTGTGACACATTAAACCCAAAGTAGCTTCAAGCCCTCTATGTAACAAGTGATAACTTACCTTCACTTGACTGGAAAGGCTCATGATACTCAATTCAGTCCAGATTGTAATTAATATCTCTTTGGAATTCTCTTTTGAATAATCTAGAAAAGACTTTATTTAAACCTCTCAGGAAATAAACAAGACATATTCTATTCCTTTCCTCTCTTTTCTACACTCACACATAAATCCCCCCTCCACCCCCTGTAATTCACTGTACTTTTGAGCTTCTCACAAACTCCCCACACAATTTGTTTATAACATATCAATTCTAACAGTTCTAAGAAGGCAGAAATTTCAGATCACCGTTTTTCTGTCTCTTCCACAGAACCTCATACCTCACAAGTAAAACACACAATTTGTCACAGATAGCATAGAAAGACATATTTCATAGTAAGACATTTCTGAATTTTATTCCAACTGACCATATCAAATGCTTTTCTCAATATTCCATTGGGCTTTAATGATGATGGTTTCAAGTATTGACTCTGACACTCATCAAGGGTACAACCTTTGGGTAAATCCCCTTTCTGTGCTTCAATTTCATCTCCTCATGTGATGAGGGTTAGACTACAGGAATTCTGGAGTCTCTTTCAGCTCCAAATCTTGTGACTTTTGATGGTTTAGGAGCTGGTGACATTCAAGGATGTGGCTGTGGACTTCACCCAGGAGGAGTGGGGCCTCTTGGACCATCCTCAGAAGGAGTTGTACAAGGAGGTCATGCTGGAGAATGCCCAGAACCTGCTTTCCCTGGGTAAGGACACTTCCCCTGGCCACTCTCAGTCTGCAATCCAAGGGAATATCTTTATTCCTGAGTGTGCAAGGTTGAAAGCATTTATAAATAACTAAAAGGGAAATGTGCTGGTCTCCTGTGTCCAAGAGACAGGGTCCCCTGCTGCCTGGTTTTCCTATAAAAGGGCAGTACACTGTGTGAAGAGAACCTGGAGGTTTCCTGGTTGCTCCTGAAGCTGTCTCTTGCCAATTCTAGGTAGCTTGAGATCAAAGATCAGATCAGTGTTGAAGCCTCTCAGATGTGGAAGTAATCTCACATTATGTAGTCCAGCCTCTCCCTGGACATGAATTTTGTCTGCCAAGTCCCTGGAAACTGCTCAGGCAGCTTTTCCTTGTGACCCCTTCTTCTTTGGGATGGCCCTACTGTATGGAATGTTCTTCTTAAGAAGCCTCAATTTGTAGCTCACAACTCCTACATGTGCCTGGCATGGCAGGTTTGTCCTGAACCTTCCTTTACAGTGCCCCCATTCCAGCAAAGATAGTGGGAAAGAAGGGAAGGGAATAAGCATTTCTATTCATCTGCTGTTCACCAGCTGTTGTGCTAAGTGCTTTCTTTACAATATTATGCCTTTAGGTGATATTATTAACCCCATTTGACATTTGAGGAAACTGAAGCAAACAGAGGTTAAGTGACTTTTGCAGAAGCACATAGCTAGTAACTGCCTGAGCCTGGATTTAAACCCTGGCATGCCTGACTCCAGGCCCAGGGCTTTCTCCACTGCACTACCAGCTACCTCTACTTTCCCGATAATCATAATTATGCAGTGAGTCCATCCTTCTGTGAAGAAGGTGTACCAGGACCAAATTTTCTGATTCCTAATTGGCTCCATGATCTTCTCCCCCACCTCTCCCCAAAGCTCCCAAAAATAAATGCTGTGGGCTCATTGCTTTTAAGGAGTCCTGGGAACCATCCTGTGCTTCTTGTTTGCAAACCCTTGTCAATGGCAGGAATAGCAGACTGGCCAAGAATCAGAATTTGGACTAAGGTTCATTGAGTTCCCCACCAGGAGAATCTCACCAGAAGAGGCAAAGACTCCCTGAATGAAGAGTAACAAGGTGTTTATAGGTTTTAGGGAGTGAGGAGAAGCGTAGGAGACAGGGCCAAAGCTGGTTCCTTAAGGTCCCTTTTGCTGGAGCTCAAGGCTGATCTGGTACATCCTATTTTGGGTTACTGGAATTATGAGCACTAAAGAGCGAAGAAGCCAGATATGTGTGAACATGATGCAGTGATTCTCCAAATGCAGTGGCTTTGTATGCACACTCTTTTCCCTAAAAAAATCTAAATTACAAGTTTTCTCTGTCCTCATCCCTGATTCCCCATGCTCAGGGCTGCCAGTTCCCAGAGAATATCTGATCTCTTATTTGGAAGAAAGGGAAGCACCATGGCTGCTGGAGCAAGAAGGCCTGAGGAGCTGCTGTCCAGGTGAGTGAGAGGCAAGCAGGTGTATGTGAGTTATGATTACAAGAGGCTTCTAGGTGTGGTAGTGAAGCAAGTGCTAGATTTGGAGGATGGAAGATCTGACTTGGAATTCTTTTCTTTTTTTTTTCAAGTGAGGCAGTTGGGGTTAAGTGGCTTGCCCAGAGTCACACAGTTAGTGAGTGTTATGTGTCTGAGGCTGAATTTGAACTCAGGTCCTCCTGACTACAGGAGCTGTGCTCCATCCACTGCGCCAGCTACCTGCCCCTTGGGATTCTTTTTTAGACACTTTTTAGCAGCAGGATCCTTGATAAGTTACAGAATCACTGAGCTTCATTTTGGCTATTGGTAAGATGAGGGAGTTGGGCACTATGGCCTCTAAGCTCTCTTCCAGTGATAAATCTCTGATCTTATAAAAAGTCATTGTTTGGAACTTGGGGGCATAGAAATCCCCAGAAAGTGCAAAAAGGGTTAGGCTTTCCAATGTGGTCTCTTTCTTAGACCTTCTTCAAGTCAGTGAGCATTTGTGAAGTTTCTGCTATGTGCCACACCCTCTGCTAAGCACTAAGGGATATAAAGATGTAAGTAACATCTCCTGCTCTCCTGGAGCTCACAGACTGGGGGGTGGCGGGGCAGACAACATGCCAACAAAAACGTAGGAACTTATTTTGGACACGATAAATTGGAGCTCATTGAGAGGGAAGGCACTGAAGTGAAGGAGGACTGGAAAGGTTTATTGAGGAAGGGGGGCTCTAGCTGGGGCTTCAGGGAAGCCAGGGTTAGCATTCTAGGCACAGGTTGTGAGGAAAGCCTGTGGAGTCAGGTGATGGAGTGTCCTGTTCAGAGAACAGAAGGGAGGCCCATAGCACTGGAGTATAGCAAGTTTGGTGGAGATAAAAGGTGAAAGAAGACTGGAAGAGTGGGAGAGGGGTAAGTAAAGAAGGGGTGGATGAGTCACAACCCAAGAGAGGATTTTATATTTGATCCTTTTCCTAGGGAGCCATAGCAGATTGTTGAGAACATGGTGATATCATCAGTCAAGAACTTTAGGAAGATGAACTTTGATAAGTGGGTGGAGGAATGACTGGAGTGGGGGGAGACTTGAGGCAGCTGGGCCAAGCAGCAGGTTCTTGCAATACCTCAGGTGTGAGGGGATTGAAGCCTGAACCAAGACAGTGGCAGTGTTGGGAGAATGGGAGAGATTTTACATAGATGGAATCACAGGACTTTGCAGCAGATTGAATATGGGAGTCAGGAGTGAGAGCCAGTGAGGGGTACATGACACCTTGTTTGTGAGTCTGCACTATTGAGAGGATGCTTTGGGAGCATTAGGAAAGTAGGAAAATGGGAGGGTTGGGGGGAAAAAGAATGAGTTTAGTTTGGATACAGTAGGAGAACCAAGAGAGAAGTGTCACTAAATCCCAGAGAGAGGGGAAAGGGTGATTGACTATGTTGAAGGTTGTAGCAAAGTCAAGAAGGATGAGGATGAAGCAATGACCAGTGGAATTGGAGCTTAGAGAATTTTGGTCATTTTGGAGAGAGGAGTTTCCAGTGAACAATGACATTGGGAGCTAGACTGCAGAGAATTTCAGAGAAGGCAAAGGAAAGGAGTTGGAGACACCAGTTGTAAATGGGCATCTGCAGCTGTTTAGCCATGAAATGGAAGAAAGGTACTGTAAAATATCTCTTGGGCTGAGTAGATCAAGTGACCGTGTTTTGAGGATTAGAGAGAGATGATCTTATTTGTTGAAGTAGGGAAGGGGGCATTAGTGTAGGAGAGACTGTAAAGTAGTGAATTAATGGGGATACTGTAGAGGTAGTAACCTGAGGAAAATGACATGATGGAATGGGATGATTTACACGTGGAAAGAAATTTGCTTTAGCAAGCAGAGAGAGGACCATTTCATCTGATAGTGCTATCAAAAAGGAAAAGAAGACACCTGATTTGTGGGAGGTGAGGAAGATAAGAGGGCTGTTTAAAAGTATTCAATTTCTTCATTGAAATATAAGGGAAATTTCTCTGCTGAGGTGAGTGGGGGGTGTAGAGTGGAGCAGCAGTGAGGGAGAGTTAGGGAAAAATGAAAAGAATTGGAAAAGCTGCTGTGGTGAGTTGGTTATGTTGTTGTTCAGTCATTTCAGTCGTGTCTGACTCTTCCTGACCCCGTTTGGGGTTTTCTTGGCAAAGATACTGGAGCGGTTTGCCCTTTCCTTTTCAGGCTCATTTTGCACATGAGTTAACTGAGGCCAGCAGGCCTGAGTGACTTGCCCAGGATCACACAGCTAGTAAGTGTCTGAGGCTGAATTTCAACTTGAGTCTTCCTGACCAGTACTCTATCCACTGCACCAAGGGAGTCAGTTAGGAAAATCTCAAAGGATAGCCTTGCCACACTGAGATTATGTAGCCTGAATGTGTAGTGAACCCAAGGGGACTAGTTTCATGATTTTTTCTCTCTCCATTCAGCAGCATGTAAGTAGTAGCAAAGTCTACAGCCTTACTTAGAATTAATCCAAGGCTATGCTTCACATAAATCATCAACTTGTATCCCTCTCCTGATCTCCAAGGCTCAATATTTGGCCCATTCTTGGAGAATCATTGGCCAGATTCATTGAGTTGACGGTCACTCTCAGTTTGGGGAAATGGGAGGAAGAGACTGCCAGGTGTCCCACAGAATGAAATGCTCCAGGAGCCACGTGAGAAGCCTTTGTGAGAAGCCTTCACTATCGGTCTGGTTAGGGCCCATCAAGATTAGAACTAGAGAAAGGTCACTCAATATAGAGGTTAATGTGCAAGAAAGAGACACAAACAGGGTGAAGCCAGAGCTGGCATTTGCCAACTAAGAATCTTAGACTAGAATAGAGGGATTGAGGTAGAGCCTGGGGAGTGGTGTCAGCCCTGGGCCCAGTCAGTCAGTCAATGAGCATGGATTAAGCACCTCCAGTTTTCTAGGTGCTGTCCTAAGCCTTGGGGATACATAGGAAGGGAAAAGCCAGTCCCTGCTGTCAAGGAGCTCCCATGCTGGCACAGAAACATATAGATGGCTTGAGAAGAAGCACCAGATTGGGAACCTCACTCTTAGCTGATCTAGGGAAAAGAGAGTGTTTGGGAATGGAGAGACATGTAGTTCAGTGGGATATGAGGGAACTCAAGGAGTGAGGCTAACAGCAGTTTAAGAAGGAGAGCAGAATTGGGGAGGAAAGTCAAAATCAAAATAAAATTGATAAAAATATAGGCACACCTCAGAGATATGGTGGGTTTGGTTCCAGAGCACCTCAGTAAAGTGAATATTGCAATAAAATGAGTCACATGAATTTTTTGGTATCTCAGTATATGTAAAAGTTATGTCTACACTGCATTGTTGTCTGTTGCGCGTGTTATACTGTTATGTCTAAAAAAATGTACATGCTTTAAAAATATTTTATTGCTATTAAAAGCTACCCATCACCTGAGCCTTCAGTGAGTTGTAATCTTGTTGCCAGTGGAGGCTCTGGCCCACTGTGGATGGCTGCTGACTGATCAGAGTAGTGGTTGCTTAAAGTTGGCAGTGGCTGTGGCAATTTCTTAAGATAAGGTGACGGTGAAGTTTTCCACATTGATTGACTCTTCTTTTCACTTCAGCACTTAAAGCCCTATTATAGGGTTATTAATTGGCCTGATTTCAGTATCTCAGAGAATAGGAAGAGAGGGAGAAAACATGTCAACATGCAATAATAAAATAATTTTTCTTAAAAAAAAAAAAAGAAAATGCAATGGAGAAAGGCCTTCTAGTACCATGGGCAGAGCATGCCCACTTGCAGTGTTGGAGTTCTAGTCTCAGCTACGGGGATGTTGTTCAGATCACTCAGCCATTCTGAGCTCATGGCCTGAGCTGTGAATGTAATGAGAATGCTGGGCCTGCCAGTGTCATAGGTATTTTTGAGGATCCAATTTGATTATGTGTGAAGGTCTTTTTAAATCAAGTTGTCCTGCAGATGTGAGTTAATGGCATCTTTAAATGATTGATCCTGTTCATTAAATTTGAAGATTTTTCTGTTAGCTTGGGGAAGTAGGATGTAGATCACTTTCTGCCACTGGATTATAATTATATGTGTGTGTACATGTATCTTTCTATATATGTTTTATTGCTTGTTTTTTGCAGGAGAGATTAGACCTGAAATGCAAGAGACTGCTGCAAACCTAAGCATTTCTGTGGAAGAAACTCAGGAGCAAAATTTCATGAGGGATGGTCCCTGTGACTTCACTGGGAGACAAATCTGTGCTGTATTTCACAGAATCCACGCAGGAGAGAAAGCTTATGATTGTCATCATTGTGGGAAAGACTTGAGTCAACAGTCATCCCTTATTTATCATAAAAAAATGCAGACTGGACAGAAACCACATGAGTGTTATGAATGTGGTAAAGCTTTTAGTGAACACTCATCCTTTCTTATACATCAGAGAATTCACACTAATAAGAAACCTTATGAATGTAATCAGTGTGGAAAGGCCTTCAGATATAAAAGCCATCTTGCTAAACATCAGAGAGTCCACACTGGAGAGAAACCTTATGAATGTAATCAATGTGGAAAGGCTTTCACACAGAGCTCCAATCTTGCTGAACATCAGAGAATCCACACTGGTGAGAAACCTTATGAATGTAATCAATGTGGAAAGGCTTTCAGATATAAAAGCCATCTTGCTCTACATCTGAGAATCCACACTGGAGAGAAACCTTATGAATGTGATCAATGTGGAAAGACTTTCACACAGAGCTCCAGTCTCGCTACACATCAGAGAATCCACACTGGAGAGAAACCATATGAATGTAATCAATGTGGAAAGGCTTTCAGATGCAGCTTCAGTCTTGCTGTACATCTGAGAAGCCACACTGGAGAGAAGCCTTATGAATGTAATCAATGTGAAAAGGCTTTCAGATGCAGTTTCAGTCTTGCTGTACATCAGAGAAGCCACACTGGAGAGAAACCTTATGAATGTAATCAGTGTGGAAAGGCTTTCAAACAGTGGGCACATTTTGCTAGACATCAGAGAATTCACACTGGAGAGAAACCTTATGAATGTAAGGAATGTGGAAAGGCTTTCAAACAGAGGACCCATTTTGCTCTACATCAGAGAATTCACACTGGAGAGAAACCTTATGAATGTGATAAATGTGGAAAGGCTTTCACACAGAGGGCCAGTCTTGCTGTACATCAGAGAATCCACACTGGAGAGAAACCTTATCAATGTAATCAATGTGGAAAGGCTTTCAGATGCAACTCCAGTCTTGCTGTACATCAGAGGATTCACACTGGAGAGAAACCATATCACTGTAATCAATGTGGAAAGTCTTTCAAATGTAGCGCCAATCTTGCTGTACATCAGTGAAGCCACATTGAAGAGAAACCTTATGAATGTAATCTATGTGAAAAGGCTCTCAGATGCAGCTCCACTCTTGCCATACATCAGAGAATCCACACTGGAGAGAAATCTTAGGAGAACCTTTTAATGTATGCTCTTCCCTGACTAAACATCAGAGAATCCATACTAGAGGATAAACCTCATTAATATGATCAACATGGAAAATCACTCAGGTTCAAGTCATCCCTTATGTCTCATCAGAAAATTCACAAGAGAAATAAATCATATCCCTGTAATGAATGTGGAAAGGCATACAAATGGAATACAGAGCTTGTCAGACATCAGAAAATTCACCATGGGAACAAGCCCTAGAAGGACTCAACGTGGGAAGGTCTTCAGACCAAGATCATCTCTTCCTTTACATCAAGGATTCATAGTGGAGAGAAGACTTATGAATGTGCTCAATGAGGTCCTGCCTTTCCCTAGAGGATGGAGCTCACTCAACTTCACAATATTCACTATGGACAGAAGATTTACAAAAGCAGTGATTGTGGGAAATCTTTCACCTGGAGCTCATACATGCATCTTCATTTGAAAAACCTTGCTGGAGATAAAACTTGGGGATCTAATTAATGAAAGAAGGCCTCTTCCTGCAGTACAGACCTCATCAGACATCACATATTTTATCCTGTACATCAAGCCCTGAAAATGGATTGAATTTTTCTATGAAATCCTAAGGTTTCTCATGACTACCCTAAAATATTCCATGGCATCCTTCAGCCATTCTTGAGTTGATAGGTACTCACTTTGTCTCGTGATGTTGGCTGGCACAAAAAGTCCTAGTATAAATATTTGTTGGACATTAATTTTGTAATTATGTTTTACTCTGTGGGGTGGCACAATGGCTAGAGGGCTGTCCCTGAATCCACAAGACCTCAGTTCAATTTCAGCTTCTGATGGCTACTGGCTCTGTGTCCCTGGATGAGGCACTTAACCTATTCCTGCCTTAGTTTCCTCATCTGTATAATGGGAGTAATAATAGCACCTGTCTGCCAGGATTGATGAGAGGATTAAATGAGACAATATTTGTCAAGTGCTTTGTAAGCATTAAATCACTATGTAAAGTTAGCTACTTGTGAACTCACTACCATTATTATTTTTCCCTTGGTCATAAGTCTCAGCAAAGTCAGTGGCCTAAAAGGTATGGATAGCTTAGTCACTTTTTCTTTTCCTTCAAATTGACATTCAGGGGCAGCTAGATGGTGCAGTGGATAGAGCACCGGCCCTGAAGTCAGGAGGACCTGAGTTCAAATACGGCCTCAGACCAAACACTTGACACTTACTAGCTGTGTGACCCTGGGCAAGTCACTTAACCCCAATTGCCTAAAAAAGAAAAACCAAATTGACATTCAGAAGAGTGTAGATGAAAGCAGTATGTTGTAATGAATAGGGAGAAGGGTTTAGAGTTGGGAAGACTAGGCTTCACATCTTCTCTCAGATGCCCTTTCACTATGTAACTCTGGGGGAAAAATAACCTCTCTGTGCCTCTGTTTATTCATCTCTAAAAAGGTGAGGTTGTATCAGATTGGCTAACATGACAAAAAAGGAAAATGATCAATGTTGGAAAAGATGTGGGAAAATTAGGACACTAATGCATTGTTAGTGCAGTTGTAAACTTATCCAACCATTCTGGAGAGTGATTTGGAGCTATTCCCAGAAGGCAATTAAACTGTGCATGCCCTTTGATCCAACCATACCACTACTAGGTCTATATCCCAAAGAGATTATAAAAAAGGGAAAAGGACCTACATGCACAAAAAAAAATATTTATAGCAGTTCTTTTTGTAGTGGCCAAGAATTGGAAATTGAGGGGATGCCTATCCATTGGAGAATGGCTGAAGAAGTTGTGGTATATGAATGTAATAGAATACTATTGTGCTATAAGAGATGATGAGCAGACAGATTTCAGAAAAACCTGGAAAGAGTTGCATGATCTAGTGCAAAATAAAGTGAGAAGAGCCAGGAGAACATTGTACACAGTAATAGTAATGCTTTGTGATGATCAACTATGATAGACTTAGCTCTTCTCAGCAATACAATCATCCAAGCAAGTCCAAAAGACTCATGATGGAAAATGCCATGCACATCCAGAGAAAGAACTGATGGAGTCTGAATGCAGATCGAAGCATATGGTTTTCACTTTTTTTTTCTTTTTGTATCCTTTCTCTTTTGTTTCTTCTTTCAGAACATGACTAATGTGGAAATATGTTTAGATGATTGCATATCTATAAGCTCTGTCAGATTGGTTGCTGTTTTGGGGAGGAGGGATTGGAGGGAGAGAGGGAGAAAAATTTGAAACTCAAAATCTTATTAAAAATGAATGTTGAAAGGGGCAGCTAAGTAGCACAGTGGATGCAGCACCGGCCCTGAAGTCAGAAGGACCTGAGTTCGAATCTGGCCTCAGACCAAACACTTGACACTTACTAGCTGTGTGACCCTGGGCAAGTCACTTAGCCCCAGTTGCCTAGAAAATAAGAAAAAAAAGATAAAAATGAATGTTGAAAACTAAAAAAAAAAAGGAATTAGGCAGGGCAGCGAAGGAGGGAGATAGTTCAGAACTTAAAATATAACAAAAATATATAATTCAAAATGGAGAGATTGGACTCAGTGCCTTCTATCCTTCCTTCCAAATCAAAATTGGTATCTCATTAAAAGTACATTTATGTCTCTTTCTGAAGCCTCCTCCAATATTCTGCAAAAGTATTCTCAGACCAAGTCTGAGCTTATAGCAGAAAGTGGTGGTCACTGCAACTGTCCATGCTACTGAAAAATAGGGTACAAATTATACTCTTGTACAAATTAGATGTGTAATGTATGAAAGAAAATGAGTCTACTAACCATGTGTTCAACAAATCCCAAGACCTCACCTCCTCGAACTGGATTTACTAATCACTACAAAATGCTGGGAAAACTGGCAAGCAGTCTGGCAGAAAAGTCTACACATCTCATGGTGTAGACCAGGATTGACTCCAAATGGATGCATGTCTGGGATATGAAAGGACACCTCAAACAAATCAGAGGAAGGAACCATGAAGGAGATTCATTTTGTAATTATGAAGTGGGGAAAAGTGCGTCCCCAGAGAAGGGTTGGAGATTATATAGAATAAAAAGGATTTTTATCACAGGAAGAAACTAATGTATCTAAAATGCAAAAGGGAAGCAATTAAATGTGGAATGGATTGTAGCAAGTTTCTCAAAAAAAAAGTCTCATTTCCAAATATTTAAAAAATCAATACAGACATATAAAATGATCCATTGCCCAGTAGATCTCTGCTCAAAAGGTATAAATAGTTTTCCAAGGAAGAAATCCAAGTTTTCAATGACTATATTTTAAAAATGGTCCACATCTCTAACCACTAATCCACATCACTAATAATTAGAAAGATTTTAAGATTAGTAAAGGTGATAAGAAAATGGCAATCACCAGTATTAGAGGGAATTCACAAACACTTATTGAGGGACAATGTTCCTGCATTGTTCGTGTCAAAGGAAAAATGATGTGTCTCATCCTGCACTCTGAGTCCTTCATCTCCATCAGGACATTGTTAATATTCCAACTTTTGTACTCTGCAGACATGGTTGGTCATTGCATTGATCAGAGTTCTTAAATTTTTGGACTTATTTTTCATTACAATATTGCTTTTATGAGTAAGTCATTCTGGTTCTGCTCACTTCTCTTTACACTAGTTGATATAAGCCTTCCCAGGTTCTTTTCCAATCCTCACCATCATCATTTCTTACAGTATACCTTATTTCATCTCATTTATGGAAATGACAAATATTTGAGAGAATTTATTTTCCTTGACTACATATTCGCTTCAAAAGTTGGGGAAGATCAGGTCAGAGAGGGAGAAAATACATATAAATTCAAAAAGGCAAAAAAAGTATGCTCAAATTCATTTATAATTAGTGGTACCTTAATTCACTGTTGATGAAGGTGTGAAGCACCAAAAGTGACTAACACAAAGAAGACCAGAGGGAAGCCAGACAGTCGTGAAAGTGCCATGTTGACTTTATTATCTCAAAAACAATCAAGCAATAAATAAGAGAAATCATTTCATGTGGAATCCTCTTTTTCTCATTAGATATGGTTGGTTGTTCTTCATTTTTTTTTTTTAGGCAATTGGGGCTAAATGACTTGCCCAGGGTCACACAGCTATGGTTGCTCTTCATTCTTCAAGAGGACCAAAATGACATCACTATACTAGAGTCGAGTTACAGTATCTCCCACTGTGGCTGATCAGACTAATATGAACTTGGAATGTTCTGCCACAGGTCGGTTGCAAACAGTCCATGTGAACATTTGGGGTGGATTCTCTAAATTTGGGCATTTCATGTTTCTTTTGAGCTACTTCACCTCTCCTTTGCTCATAGAGCACAGCATCTTCTCTGATGTGGGCACAACATGCTAAGCAGTCCCATCTTAGTGTCTCCCTTGTCACATACTCAAATCCAAAGTTCTTAAGAGAGATCTTGAGAGTATCCTTGTATCTCTTCTTCTGACCACCACGTGAATGCTTGCCCTGTGTGAGTTCTCCATAAAAAAGTCTTTGTTGCAAGCATACATTTGGAATTTGAGCAACATGGCCAGCCTATCCTAAAAGAAGTAGTAAGGCAAAAGGGAAAGAAAATGGAAGGAGATAATAGAAGGGAGGGAAGATTGAAGGAGGTGGTGGTCAAAAGCAAAAGTCTAGTTAGGAGGGAAAGGGAGAAAGGGGAGAAAAGCATAAACAGGGGGAAATAATATGGAGAGAAAGACACAGAGACTTATCATAACTGAATGGAATGAACTCTCCAATAAAACAGAAGCAGATAGCAGAGTAGATTAAAAACCATAATGCTACAGTATGTTGTTTACAAGAAACATTTGAAGCAGAGGGATACACACAGAGAAAAGGTAAAAGGCTGGAGTCAAATATATTATGCTTCAGCTGAATTTAAAAAAAAAGCAAGGATAGCAATCCTGATCTCAGACAAAGCAAAAGCAAAATTAGGTCTAGTTAAAAAAGGAAGGAAACTACATCCTGCTAAAATGTACCATAGACAATGAAGTGATGTCATTACTACACATACATGCACCAAGTGGTATAGAATCCGTATCTTTAGAGCAGAAGTTAAGGGAGTTACAGGAAGAAATAGACAGCAAACCTAAACTAGTGGGGGACCTCAACCTCCCCCCTCTCAAAACTAGAGAAATCTAACCAGAAAATAAACAAGAAAGAAGTTAAAGAGGTGAATAGAACATTAGAAAAGTTAGATATGATAGACCTCCGGAGAAAACTGAATGGGGATAGAAAGGAATATATCTTTCTTTCAGGGGTACATGGCACTTACACAAAAATTGACCATGTATTAGGGGGATAAAAACCTTACAATCCAATGCAGAAAGGCAGAAATATTAAAGCATCCTTTTCAGATCATGGTGCAATAAAAATTACATATAATAAAGGGCCATGGAAAGATAGACTAAAATTTAATTGGAAACAAAATAATCCTAAAGAATGGGTGGGTCAAATAACAAATCATAGAAACAATAACTTCATAAAAGAGAATGACAATAATGAGATGACATGTCAAAACTTATGGAATGCAGTGAATGCAGTTCTTAGGGGTAAGTTTTCTATCTCAATGCTTACGCGAATAAAATAGAGAAAGAAGAGATCAATGAATTGGGAATGCAACTAAAAAAAGCTAGAAAAAGAACAAATTAAAAACCCCCAATTAAATACCAAATTAGAAATTCTGAAAACCAAAGGGCAAACTAATAAAATTGAAATTAAGAAAATTATTGAACTAATAAATAAAACTAAGAGCTGGTTTTATGAGAAAAAACCAAAAAAAATAGATAAACCTTTGGTTAATTTGATTTTAAAAAAAGAAAACCAAGTTACCAGTATCAAAAATGAAAATAGCGAATTCATCACCAGTGAAGAGGAAATTAAAGCAATAATTATGAGTTATTTTGCCCAACTATGTCCCAATAAATTTGACGTTCTTAGTGAAATGAATGTACATATATATACACACACACACACATATATATGTATACATGTGTGTGTATCCCAGATGAACAGAAGAGGAAATGAAATACTTAAATAACTCTTTCTGAAAAAGAAATTGAACAAGCCATCAATGAACTTCCTAAGAAAAAATCTGCAGGGCCAGATGGATTTACAAGTGAATGCTATCAAACATTTAAAGAACAATTAATTCCAATACTATGCAAAGTATTTGGGAAAATAGGTGAAGGAGTCCTACCAAGTTCTTTTTATGATATAAATATGGTGCTGAACCAGAAAGAGCCAAAACAGAGAAAGAAAATTATAGGCCAATTTCCCTAATGAATATAGATGCAAAAAAAAATTAAATGTTAGCAAAGAGATTACAGCAACTTATCACAAGGATAATACACTATGACCAGGCAGGATTTATACCAGGAATGCAGGACTGGTTCAATATTAGGAAAACTTTCAGCATAATTGACCATATTGACATATAACACCATTCCTATTAAAAAAAAAACACTGGAAAGCATAGGAATAAATGGAGTCTTCCTTAAAATGATAAGTAGTATTTATCAACAGCCATCAGCAAGCATTATGTGTAATGAGGATAAGCTAGAACCATTTCCAATAAGATTGGTGGTGAAACAAGGATGTCCATTATCACCACTGTTATATTCATTATTGTACTAGAAATGACCAACATCGACCAACATCTTACACCATATACCAAGATAAAGACTAAATGGGTACAGTATTTAGATATAAAGTCTGATACTATAAGCAAACTAGGATAAATAAAAATAGTTTACCTATCATTTATGGAGAACAGAAGAATTTATCACCAAACAAGAGGTAGAGAATATTATGAAATGCAAAATGGATAATTTTAATGACATTAAATTGAAATTTTTTTTGCACAAACAAAGCCAATGCAACCAAGATTAGGAGGGAAGCAGAAAACTGGGAAACAATTTTTACAGCCACTGTCTCTGATAAAGGACTCATTTCTAAAATATAGAGAGAACTGAGTTAAATTTATAAGTACAAGTCATTCCCCAATTGATAAATGGTCAAAGACATGAATAAGCAGTTTTCAGATGAAGAAATTAAAACTGTCTAAAATCATATGAAAACATGCTCTAAATCACTATTGATTGGAGAAATGCAAATCAAAACAACTCTGAAGTACCACATCACACCTATCAGGTTGGCTAACATGACAAAACAGGACAATGATAAATGTTGAAGAATATGTGGGAAAATTGGAACGTTAACGCACCGTTGGTGGAGTTGTGAACTTATTCAAGCATTCTGGAGAGCAATTTGGAACTATGCACAAAAGGCCAAAAAGCTATGCATTCTCTTTGACCCAGTAATACCATTTCTAGGGCTATATCCCAAAGAGATCATAGAAATAGAAAAAGGACACACATGGACAAAAATATTTATAGCAGCTCTTTTTGTGGTGGCCAAGAATTGGAAACTGTGCGGATGCCTATCCATTGAGGAATGGCTGAACAAGTCGTGGTATATGAATGAGAAAAGATTTTGAATGCCATTAATCTCCTTTCATGTGGCAAAGCTCCTGGTGCTGATTCTACTCCAGCTGAGATTTACAAGGAGGAGGTTCGTTGCTCATACAAAAATTGACTGACATTTTCTGGGTTATATGGCAAGAACAGGATATCCCCCAGGAGTTCAAGGATGCCTCCATCATCCAGCTCTATAAAGGTAAAAGAAATAGATTGTCCTGTGACAATTACAGGGAGCTCTCTCTCTTAGTCATTGCTGGCAAGATTCTTGCCAGAGTCCCCCTTGATAGGCTGCTCCTTCACTTGGAAGATGGTCATCAAGATGAGAGCCAGTGTGGCTTCAGAAAAGGCCAAGGAACAATTGATTTGGTGTTTGCTGTCCAACAACTCCAGGAGAAATGCCAGGAGCAGAACAGAAATCTGAACACATTTGTAGGTCTGACCAAGGCCTTTGATACTGTCAGTCATGAGGGCTTCTGGAAAATTATGTCACAATTCGGTTGCCCAGTGAAGCTCATCAGCATTGGCCATCAATTTCACAACAATATTCTTGCCCGGGTACTGGATAATGGACAATGCTCTCATGCTTTCCCAGTCACCAATGGTGTGAAACAAGGCTGTGTGCTTGCTCCCATGCTTTTTAGCACAAAGTTTTCAGCCATGTTGTCAAATGTTTTCAATGAAGACAAACACAGCATCAAGGTCAGCGACCTCATTGATGCTAACTTCTTCCAACTTGAAAAGACTACAAGCCAAGACTAAAGTGGAGGGAGTGGTGGTGCATGACTTTCTGTTTACAGATGATTGTAAACTCAGTGCAGCCTCTGAAGCTGAAATGCAGTAAAGTATGGATCGATTTTCTGTGCTTATGCTAATTTCAGCCTCACCAAGAAAACACAAGTGCTCCATCAGCCCCCACCACACCATCCATATGTGGAACCATCTGTTATAGCAAATGGAGAAGTTTTGAATGCTATGGATAAGTTCACTTACCTTGGCAGTATATTTTCTAAGTATGTGCACATTGATAATGGGATGAACACACACATTTCCAGATCTAGGTCAGTGTTTGAGAGGCTCTGAAGGAAAGCATGGGACAGAAGAGGTATTAGACTGACCAATAAACTGAAGGTCTACAAGAGCCCTGTGCTGACCTCCTTGTTGTATGCCTGTGAAACCTGGAGAGTCTGCCAGGAAACTGAATCACATCCATTTGAATTGTCGTAAGAAGATCACCTGGCAGGATAAAATACCAGACACTGAAGTTCTTTCTTGAAGTAAACTGCCAAGCATTCAAATTTTGCTGCCGAAAGTGCAATTCCAGTGGGCTGGCCATGTTATTTGAATGCCAAATGCTTGCCCAAAAGGCTATTTTATAGAGAACTCACACAGGGCAAGCACTCACATGTTGGTCAGAAGTGATACAAGGAGACTCTCAAGGTCTCTCTGAAGAACTTTGGAATTGATTGTGTGACATGGGAGACACTGGCACAGGACTGCTCAGCATGGCATGCCCTCGTCAGAGAAGCTGCTGTGCTCTAGGAGCAAAGCAGAACTGAAGTAGCTCAAAAGAAATGGGAGATGCACAAATTTAGAGAATCCACCCCAAATATTCACAAGGACTCTTTGTGCCCAACCTGTGGTAGAACATTCTGAGCTTATATTGGCCAGATCAGCCATAGTCAGACACACTGAAACTTGACTCCAGCACAGTGATGTCATTTTGGTCCTCTTTGAGAACAAAAGACAATAACCAACCAACCAAGCTAAATTAGGCAAAAATAATATGTCAGCAGGGTCACAAGTTGGGTGAAGCAAGGAATATCTCCACCAACTAGGTGGTCACAAGATGTATAAGCTCCTTCTTAGGTTAGGCAGGAGGAGATGGTTCCACCCATACTTGGTTTAGTCATGAAATGTGAGCAAAACAGGATGGAGATATCTTTGTCAGCATTCTTGTGGTTGCCCAAGTGAGGTCAATAGTTGGTAAACAAGTAATGGACATTACATTAAAGTTTGAGGCTGATTATAGGGCCCTTCTATTTGAAACTATATTCCTATGTGACGTACACAAAGCCTGCATTAACATATTGCTTTTTCTTATACCTGTTATCAGCTGATTGAAGAGATATGTATTAATAGATGAATATATTAAAATAACTACTAACAATCACTACCCCTTGTAAAATCATAATGAATTAACACTGATTAGAGTATTATGAATCGTTTCTGTCATGAAAAAATTAGAGGGAAGAGAAGAGAGTATCAAGGAAAAGTGGATGATTGACAGTATCAGAGGCTGCAGAAAGGGCAATGGCATAATGCCTATGAATTAGAATAAATGACAAGAAAAGGTAGGGCTAATGGAAAATTAGTACAAGACACGTGAAAAGAGTAAATGTATTCCTCGGGTTTCCATGAGATTTAAAAAGAATGATGATGTGTTAGAGCCTCCCAACTGGTCCATACAGAGCAGTAGGACGATGACTTGAACACAACAGAATAAAATTGTCATCAACCAAATGCATTTGAAGAAATATTTAAAAGAGAAATGAAGACCATCAGGTTAGTGCAGTGGACAGAGCACAGTTGCTGGGTCTGAGTTCGAGTCTCAGCTTCTGAGATTTAGGCCAGGTCACTCAAACAGATGCAGTTGAATGCAGCAGCCCAGAATCTGATAAAGTAAGGAATATAAATGGTTGGGGAAAGGATTCCCCTTCTTGACAAGAATTGGGAAGAAAATTAGAAAGCTGTTTTGGTAGAAATCAGGTTTGGACTCCCAGCCTCCTACTGGGAGTTTGAAACATAAACTCAAAATGGAGACTGGACCTGACTATTATTCATTCATTTCAGTCATTTACTTCTCTGTGACCCCTTTTGGAGTTTTCTTGGCAAAGATGCTGGAGTCGTGTGTCATTTCCTTCTCAAGCTCATTCTACAGATGAGGAAGCTGAGGCTAACAGGGTAGAGTGACTTGCCCCGGGTCACATAGCTAGTAAGTAGTGTGGATTTGAACTCAGGAAGATGAACTTCTTGGCTCCATGCTCAGCACTCTATCCCCTGAGCCACCTCGCTGTCGATAAAAGCCACCAGTTAAAACCTTGTAGAAGGAAGATGGCAGAGCAGCAGGAAAAGGAAGCATGAGCCCACAACTCCCACAACTCCTACTGAGCAGAAAATCCAAGAAACCACAGTGAGGAATTACTCCAGATCAGGTCATTCTAGGGAGTTAGAGAGATCTATGGACACTCACAAGGGGTCTAGGCGGGAAGGGCATTGCAGAGCCTTCCAGCTCAGGGAGAGGCTGTTCAGCAGGCCAGTGAGTCCCAGATTATGCATTGGGGGGAATTCAACTTGAGTAAAGTGCAGGAGTAGGTGGCAACTGCAAGTTTTGTTGCTTGCTATCTATTTCAGGGTTTTGCATCCAAGGAAGACTGAGGATCTGTTCCTAGAAGTGGTAGTTTCATGGTGAGGGGCAGTGCTGGGCCCTAGGATGGGGATTAAACAAGGAACAAAATCAGAAGCCAGCAACAGCCACATGGTTCTTATTCCAGGAGCATAGTGTGGTCTCAGGTCCTGCTTCCAGTCCAGTCTGAAGCCTGCAGAAGAATAACAAAGGAAGGAATCCCAGATGAAACAGAATGCTGTGGTTCTGTCCCTTTAAACCAGAATAATTTTCCAACTGCCTTGTAAGGACTGAGTCCATCAATAACCTACTGAAACTCTGCATGGGACAAGCCTATAGCCTGATTTATCAGACCCAAACACAGGTCAGGATGTGCAGAGCTCAGCCAGGGAGGTGGGTGGGGCCTCAGATAGCTTTGGTAGGTAGCACTGAAAGCTTGTAGGTCCCCAGTCTGAACCCTACCTGGGATCCTGAAATAACATGACACCCCAAGAAAGCAGCAACAGCACCATCCCAGACATTCTGTCTTGAATTCCTAGAGGAGATCAAACAACCATTAACCATTCAAAACATTTTTCTAAATGATATGAGAACACTGGAGGGGAAAAGTTGGAAAGGAAAAGAAAGTATGGAAGAAAGAGTTGGAAAGAGAATTATGGGCTTGGCACACAGGGTGCAGAACCTTGCCCAAGCAACAGATCGGTGGAAAATGAGAATAGATCAAAGGAAGCTAAGGACTCCAGGAGACAAAGAGTGAGACTAAAATAAAATCAATAGACTGAAAAAAGAGGAGAAAATGTAAGAGATCTCATAGGAAACACCGCTGACCTAGAAAACAGATGAAGGAGAGAGATTTTAAGAATCACTGGATTCCTTAGGTGGTACAGGCCAGGAGTCTCAAAGACCTGAGTTCAAATTTGGCCTCAGACACTTACTAGCTGTGTGACCCTGGGCAAATCATTTTACTTCTGCATGCCTCTATTTCCTTGTCTGTAAAGTGAGGATGATAATAGTATTTATCCCCCTGGGTTGTTATGAGGATCAAATGAAATCATACCTATAAACCACTTCACACACTATCTGGCACATAGATTTCCTTTTTCCATTTCCAAAATGACATCACTATGTTGGGGTCAAGATACAGAGTGTCCAACTGTGGCTGACCAGACCAATATGAGCTTGGAAGGCTCTACTACAGGTTGGGCACAAATAGGCCATATGAGCAATTAGAGTGGAGATGTCTTTAAATTTGTGTATCTCACGGTATCTCACATTCCTTTCAAGCTACTACAAGCCTCTGTTGCTCATAGAGCACAGCACCTTTTTTGATGCAGGCATATCATGCTGGGTGGTTGTATGCCAGTGTCTCCCACGTCTCACAATTGATTCCAATTGACCAGAATAAGAGCCTAGACATCCTATTTCAAGAATTTTTTTTTAACTGTCCATGTCTCTTCATAAGGCAAGGTCAAAGTGGAAATAGAGAAAAAGTCCAGATCACCTCCCAAAAGAAATCCCGAAATGAAAACTCACTTGACCATCCTATCTAAAAATAATTCAGATACTGAGGAGCCACAGCCAAGATCACTACAAAGGACCAGAGATAAGCAAAGGATAATGGCTTACAACTAAGAAGAACTTACTCACCAAAAATATATAGAATCTTACAAAGGGGAAAAGTGCCGTTTAATGAAACAGAGGGCTTCCAACCATTGCTAATGAAAAGACCAGGGCAGCAGAGAAACTTTGAAGTTCAAAGACAGGAGTCAAGAGAAAGATAAAAAAGAGAAATACAAATAAAAAAATCATTAAAGATTAAACAAGGATAAACTGCTTACATTCCTATATGGGGAAATGATACACGTGTTCCCTCTGAAGCCTATCACCATCAAAGGAGATGAGAATAATTAGTAGAAGGTCTGGGAGTGGTCTATTATGTCTTGATGATCAGAAAAGAATACAAAGGGAAGAAGAATATGGTGGACAGGAAAGGGGAAAGTGAAGGTTAGGGAAAGTTAAGTCACATATTCAAGATGTGTAGGTAGATAGACATCTACACAACAAAAGATCAGGTTAGAGGAGTAGCTGACATTTGAACTTCACTCTCATCTAACTAATCAAAGGAGGAAAGAGTACACACAGATATTTGGGTATATAAATACATTTCATTAAGCAGGGAAACAAGGAAAAACATAGAAGGAGGGGGGCAGCTAGGTGGTGCAGTGGATAGAGCACCTGCCCTGAAGTCAGGAGGACCTGAGTTCAAATCTGGCCTCAGACCAAACACTTGACACTTACTAGCTGTGTGACCCTGGGCAAGTCACTTAACCCCAATTGCCTTTAAAAAAAAACATAGAAGGAGGAATAAGAGGGAGAGTAGATTAATGGAGGAATTCATCTTAATCATAACAAATTAAAGGATGTACAAAAACATTTCTATCTTTTCAAAGTGTGGAATTAGATGCTGAGGGCATGCCCATCAATTGGGGAATGGCTGAACAAGTGAGAGTATGTGAGTGGGATGGTATATAACTGTTTTAAGAAAACATGTGGGGGGGGGCAGCTAGATGGCACAGTGGATAGAGCACCTGCCCTGAAGTCAGGAGGACCTGAGTTCAAATTCGGCCTCGGACCAAACACTTGACACTTACTAGCTGTGTGACCCTGGGCAAGTCAGTTAACCCCAACTGCCTAAAAAAAAGAAATATGTGGGGGATGGTTTCAGAGAAACCTGGAAAGACTTGTATGAACTGAAACAATGCATAGTAAGCAGAAAAATTTATATGACAAAAATATAAAAAAAACCCCAAAAAACTCTGACTCAAGGACTCCAATGAACACAACGACAAACCCCAACTCCAAAGGAAAAGTGATGAAATGTGCTGCCTACCTCCTGATAAGAGATAAGAGCTTGGAAGATGAGAAATAGGTTGGGTCTTTTTAACTGCCATGTAATAATATTCAGTGTTATAGCCAACTTTTAAAATATTCTATTAAAACAGATAGGTATTTTGCCGTTTGCTGCACATACAGTAAATCTTTACATTATTTCATGATAGTAAACCATTAAGCACAATAATTTCCCTGGAGAGGCCTTTTAATCTTATTTTTTTTTCTGTTGCCATGTCTGAGACCACAACATGACTGCGAAACATTTTCTCCTATTACTCTGAGTATAATAGATACTGTTTTGGAGCATCACTTCTTTAGGACAGCCATCATCCATTTACTTTTCAAAATTTATCTTCAGTGATTCCAAACTGTCATCATCAGGCATAGACTGATTTCAGTGTTCATGCAGCGCTCACACTAAACTCTGATCACTTGTAAGTGCAACAAATTCTGTGGTTTCTCAACCTGAGATCAAATTGTTTCCAAACTGCCAGAAAGGTCTGGCATGCAAGTGCAAACGTTCCCCATGGATGGATCCGGGTGTGCACATATCCCCATTTACTTTCTACACACTGCACCAAAGTAATGGCCTCATTCCAAGGTCACCCTGTGATCTCATCTCATCAGCGCTGTAATCACCACATCAAGATGTTAAGAATGTTTGCATTCTTCCAGCACAGGTGGCAGGCTCTTTGAAAAACATGATCACAAGGCACACACTTTACAAACCATCTTGAAACCATCATGGGCCATCAAAAACATTCTACAAAAACAGACGTTGCATTGCCTCTCATTGCAATATTAAAGCTGCTTTATGATTTGAACTTGTTTTCTGTTTATGTTAATATTCTATCTAGTGCAGTGGTGGGGAAATCTGTGGCCTCAAGGCCACATGTGCCCCTGTAGGTCCTCAAGCACAGCCCTTTGACTGGAGGATTTGTTCTGTGAAGTTGGATTCAGTCCAAGGTCTGCGCTTGAGGACCTAGAGGGGCACATCTGGTCTCAAAGCTGCAGGTTCCCCACCCCTGATAGTGGATTTGCAAGGGAACCGAATGGCAACACAGGTCAGTCATTCCATTGTTTTTGTGAGAGTGTCATCAGTGTGGTAGAATGAAGAAAGTTAGGTAAAGAGAGGTCTTTTCTTACAAAAGTTGTTTTATCTATTTAATACACAACTTGTCATTTGCCAATAGAAAAATACATGTTTATGTATCAACTAGCCATTTGTTTTGTTGCCTGGTTTGGGGGCTAAAAACAAAAAAGTGAATTTTCATCTCTTAAGAACAGATTCTATAAATCCCCTATCGCATCCAGGTAAAAAGGAGCACTTTCACTGTATACTGGTTATTAATCAAAATACAGCTGATAACGCACTGCATATATATAGTTGGACTATATGTATAGATATAGATATATATTAGATAGATAGATAGATAGATAGATAGATAGATAGATAGATAGGTAGATAGATGTACTTGGACTTAGCAGGCAGGAAGACCTAAGTTCAAATTCCTCTTCAGACACTTGCTAGCACTTTTTTCCTGGGCAAGTCACAACCTCTGCTTGACTCTGTTTCCTCTGTTGTAAAATGGAGATAACCATTGTTGTGAGGATCAAAGGAGATAATGCCTATAAATCATTTAGCCCAGTAACTAGCACATAACAGGTACTGTATGTTAATTATTACTGTTTTGCTGTTATTATTATCATTATTATTAAATCAACTTGATGCAGAACCAAATCAAAGATGGCATTTGTCAAGTATTGAACCAAATACTGCAAACTTTTGTTCAGAGAAAAAAGTCCAACTTTAGATTAATTTCATATATTGCATTATGTTCAACATCTTCCAAGTTATGACTTATTTATTAAAATGTTATTTTTATTCAACAAAAACTGTGAAATGAATAAATTTGTATTGAAGTCTCACAGGAAATAGTAAATATGAAGTTTTATTGGATTAAAATAATTCTTCCAGAAAGACCAATATTAAATTTTTATAATTTAAAGTAGGATAAAATTTTATATTTTATAATTTTACAGTGGAATGAAATTATGATTTTGGAGCTTTGGGGACAAAAGTTATCTAGGTCATTCTCATAAGTACTTAATGCATAAATTTAAAAGAATATTATGAGTAGTGGAATAAATGACTATGGGGCTTCATGACCAATTTATTTTTGTTCTTGAAAGGCATTCTAAGAGTAAAAGATTTGGAGAACTACTGCTCTGGAGTCATGGTTGTTCATTGGACTGATCAGTTTTGATATAGTATAAACTCTTCCGGTTCTGCCCGCTTCTCTCTATATCAGTTCAGACAACTCTCTCCAGGTTCTCTGACACCATGACTTTCATCATTTCTTATGGCTCCGTAATCTTCCATTATATTCTTAGACCATCATTTCTTCAGTCATTTCCCAATGTATGGGCACCATCTTTGTTTCCAGATCTTTGCAGAAACAACAAACATCCACTGTAATTTCATGTTGTGTATATGAGTCATTTAACTCCTTAGTTTACAGGTCTAGTGGTTATCATGGGGTCAAAGGGCACACAGTAGAGTGACTTTAGGCACGAAGTTCCAAAAGGTGTTACAGAATGTGATCCTTCCATTTGAAGGCTGTGTGAACCTTTGTGTCAAGG